GCTATACATATACAAAGAAAGCAGTTGTATAATTCGCTATACATATACAATTGAAAGCTGTCTATTTCGCTATACATATATACAAAAAGAAGCAATTGTATAATTCGTTGGCTCCTCTTCAGAATTGTATAATTTCGCTGGCAGGCCATTTGTATAAATTGTTGTTAGCCTCTCGTTGGCAAGGGAATATTTTTATTGTATAATTATAAGTGTATAGGACGAATATATATGTATTTGCATGTGTATATACAATTTTCTCTCGCTTTATACAAACAGAAACGCAATTTATACAATTCTATTGTATAAAGCGAGAGAGGCGAGCACAGAGGGAGCGAGCGAGAAAGGGAGAGTGGCGAGCGAGAATTTGGAGGGAGAGAGGTGACTGGCAAATGTTTGTTACGGGGCGCAATTAAATCAAACAGTAGCTACTCCATTTATTTTAGATTATAAGTTTGTCATTATGTACAATTATCCCTTTTTGAATTGGGCTAAAAGAAGTCGCTATTTGTACCCCCCATTTACAGGGGTTTTGTAATGTGGGCTACACAAATTTAAGACCAATATCTTAGGCCCAAGAAGAACTTCTGTCAAACTCTTAAAGATCTGCGAGAAGCCCAATATTGTAATCACAAGTACAAAAATATAGGAAACTATATTAAGAAAGTATTTACAATCGATGACAATTTTTATTTTTTTTCACTGAACACTTATAATACTTTTGTAATATAATTTTAATGTATATTACAGAAAACAATTTATAAATCTCATATAATACAAATTTTATTGAGTGATAACACATTTATCACACACTTTAAACATTTCTAATACATTGTGTCAATTTCTTATCAAACAAACATAATATATTTTAAAGGAAAAACTACCTATATAGACATACTATACTATCATATATACATATTTTATCTCTACTTTAAAATATTACATAGAGTACCACTTTTTAATAAATATACCATATATTTTAGAAAATTAAATCAGATACACAATGCCTAAAAAGTAGTAATAAATAATTATCTTAAAATTACATCTCCTTAATTAGTGGGACACTAATAATTCAAATTAATTTTATCTCTTTTCAATTCAGCCGCTTCCCTCCCCAATCTCAAAACTATTGTATCCTATTCACGCTATCCAACCCTCACCCCTTCTTCCCCACTCCCACACGTATCCCTCAACCCTCATTACCCCTTCTTCCTTAGCAGTTCAATACACATTTTGCATGTACACGATTCATATCCATCTCTACATAATCAACATTAGTTGAAGTGGTAAAGTAAGGTTTCAACCGTATCTGAATCAATGTTTTAAATTTTTTTAACCAATAGATTTTAGAATTTTTTACATTGTTTGAGTTTGTTATTTCTCCATTCCATTTTAGTGGCTGTTCATACGCCAACCATTCAAGTCGATAACAGATCTAAGTATAGAAACGACCTAATCAAGATAAAAGAATTACGTCAAGCTTTAATTAACAAAAAAAATACACCATTAGATGCACATCAAGTGCAACAATGTTGGATACACATCAGGTGTACATGTATCTAGTTAAGAGTTCATGTATCTGAGTTAAGATTATATGTATCTATGAGAAAAAAAATTCAAATCCTTAAAGAAAGGGAGAATTTTGAATTTTTTAACTTTTTTTTTTATTAATGATAAGATAAATACCCCATCGTCGTGATTTGTTCCTAAATTCGTGTGTTT